TTGGTACTCTGGTACTCATGTTCAAAAAATGGTACATTTTCGGCGACCCAACTTTATTGTGGATATTGTATTGTTTTATACTTTTTGTACATTTTATATAAATTGTATTTTCTTATAAAAAGACAATAGAAAAATTTTGGACCTTTTTTTACAGAAATGGTACCTTTTTAAACCAATTTTGGTACAGAAAAAAATTTTCAAGTGGCAACCGTGCTCATAACTACAAAGCTCACGCTCACGAGCAAGAGCCGCCATTAAGTTATAAATGGGCTCACGCTCGTGAGCAAGAGTATGAGCTGCGGGTCATGTGATCTCATGCGCCTAATTTAAGATTTTATTATTATTTTTTTTTTGTGAAAACATGTCATTAAAAAAGATTTAAAATATTAATAACCTTAAACTAATTATAATATGGAAATAATCAAAGTTCTTAAAATAAACAATAAATATATTTGTATTGTTTATTTGTGAAAAATAATAATATTTTATAAATTTGTTTTTCAAATTTAAATTATTGTTTCATTATGTTGTTTTATTATAAATAATAATAAGCTAAGTCAATTTCAAATTATATACTTTCACATATAACGTTTATGAAAATAAATAAAGCAAATAAACTAATAAATGGCTTTTTATTAAACAGTTGAGTTCGTAAACTCTCGGCTCGTGAGACCTCATGAGCAGCTCTTCAATATGAGCCAATTTTAGGCTCACGCTCATGAGCAAATTTTGGGCTCACATAAGAATTGGCTCTTGCTCGTGAGCCTGAGCTGTTTATGAGTGAGCAAATACGAACCCTGATTTTAAGCTAAAACTTATATCTAATACATTAGAAAAATTATGATAATTAAAAATTAAAATATCAGCGCTATCGGTGGCAGAAAAAGTCTGCGTACAAAACATATAAAGGGGAATTCCCGATGTTTTAACAGTAGAATTTTGGCGTGCTTTATGTTTAACTGTACCAGTATATCATTATACACAATCCCACGCACTTATTTCATAATTTAACGATTAAAAAGTAATTACATTTATAATGGCAAATAAAGGAAAAGAAATTATTATCAGTAAGAGCAGTATTATTATTGATCTATGGAAAAAAAGGAAAATATATCGCAAAATTGGTCAAATCGTTAAGCGGTCACATTCTTTTATTAAAAGAGTAGAGAACAATTACAACTAAACAGGAGAGTCCATCCACGCTGCCGACAAGAGAAACCCGCAGCATTATTAATTCAGTGAAAGATAATCCTCGTTTAACTGGACTTCTGTTATAGAAATAGATTGACCAGACATTCCAGAAGCAAATTCACGTGGGTATTGTACACAAAATATTAAAAAAATACCATTACCATGTCCGGTTTGCACGAAGCAAGTCGCTTATTTCTAAAGATATTAGAATGAAGCGTTTGTCATTCGCAAGAGAGTATTTAAATAAGTCTCCAGAATTTTGGAAACCCATGATATTTTCAGACGAAAGCAAATTTTGTCTCCTTAGCATCAAAGGTCAAACGATTATATGGCGAATTCCGGGTACTGCCTTTAATAATGAAGATTTGTATCCAACAATAAAACACGGTAGTGGAGGAGTAATAGTTCGGGGGTGTATAGCGAGTAATAGAGAGAGAAGAATGGAATTCATTGAGTCGATAATGAATAAAGTTGATCACTTAAATGTTTTAAAATGCAATTTAAAGAGCAATGCCAAGAAGTTGGGGTTACAGAATAATTACTTACTTCAACAAGATAACGACCCAAAGCGCTCGGCAAAAGTTGTAAAGCTTTGGTTGCTTTAAAATGTGCCCAAGCAAATCAAAAAATCATCATAATCGCCATATTTGAATCCTATAGAACATTTATAGGATTTACTGGAGCGTCGGGTACATGAATACAATATAACCTCCAAAGAAATGCTGAAGAACGTGAGCGACGCGGAATGGGGTATAATAAGCAGCGATGAGACTGCAAAGCTGGTCAATTCGATACCAAAACGACTTATGGAGGTCATAAAAAGAAAAGGTTATCCAACAAGTTACTGAAAATATAAAATCTTTTAAAAAATAATATATTTCGACGCTTTTAAAACTCTTGGACGCAGACTTTTTCTGCCACCGATAGCGCTGATATTTTACATTTTTAATTATTATAATTTTTCTACTAATCTGTTAGAAATAATTTTTAGCTTAAAATGAAGATAACAAATAAAAGTACTAATGAAAAATAAAATTGATTTAAAAAACTTATTTATTTAGTAATTTCTTATATGTTGAAACAAAATTTACTTTCTGTACGCAGAGTTTTTCTGCTAAAGCTATGTAACAGCATGTATTTTGCCTCTATTAAAAAATCATGAATTCTAAAAAAGTACCATCAGTAAAAACATGTCTACTCAAAGAAAACCTAAAAACTACACAAACTGATAAAAGCTTGCCAAACATTGGATCTTCAGTAGCTTCTCTTGCATTTCTCGAATTAGCGAGTCCAAGAAAATAAAACAAAGGTCCAAATAGGCATGGAACGCTATGTCAATATAAAGCGGAAACTAAGTCTTCAAAAAGGCAATTCAAAAGGTGCTAAAATAACTAAAACTACCAAAGATAGTGCACCTACAAGCATACTTTCTGGTAATAGATTCGCTAAACTAGCTGAAACTACAGAGAAAGCTAATCAGTCTATTACCAAAAAGTTTAAACCCACTCCAATCTACCTGCGTAAACGCAGCTCAAATAACCTAATTACATTTCTTGCTCTTCTAATTGGAAATAATACGTTTCATATTGTTCCTATAACTAGGAACAATATACACGAAACCAAGATCCAAATAGACACTGAAACCAATTTTAGGATCATAACTAAACATTTCGACGAAATTATTACACATACCAACTGAAGAGTAGTAAAGGCCTTGTTCTCGTCATTAAGGATATTGAGTCAAATGTAAAACCCATTGAGATAACAAATGTCCTAAGCGAAAAAGGCTTGAGCACTAGAGAAGTTATAAACATGGCTAACAAAGATAAAATCCCACAACGCATGTTTAAAGTTGAGCTTCACCCGAAAACTTCTAGGTTTAAAAAAAAGAGAATCATCCCATTTACAACCTACAGTATTTACTTCACCACAGAATTAGCGTTGAGGAGCCCAACAAAAGAAATGGGCCGGTGCAATGCACAAACTGCCAAGAGTGTGGCCATACTAAATCATATTGCACTCTTCGTACAGTGTGCGTAGCGTGTAGCGAGCTTTACCGTAGTTCCGAATGCGATAAAAAGGTATTAAAGGATTCCAACTATAAAAGTGTAGCAACTGCATTGAAAATCACATCGCAAACTATAGAGGCTATTTGTAATGAAATGAAGTACAGGTTAGCTCTAGAAAAAGATGTGTTGCGTAATCCAACTAGAAGTACTCTCATCAAATCACCCCAACCTTAATCTTCTAACCCTGTTACATCAGGTGTTTCATATGCTAGTGTCGTTAAGTCTGACAACCAAAAATTCCATCCAGTCCAAAGCAATAGTTTGGAAATGATGATCTCCACCCTCACCCAGAGCTTAACTTAGTTTATGTCAGTCATGCAAACTAAAATAAAACAATTTTAAAAGGTTGCTTAGTGTTTGCGGTAAGATATTCAAAATTATTTGAAAATCATGAATAAATCACAAATGAAATTTACTTATCAATATTAATAATAATAATATATTTAATATTATATATACATATGTGTAAATATATGAGTACTTACATTACTTATTATGATTATATCAATAAATATTTTATTTAAAGAAATCAAATGTTCTCACTATCACTTTATATAACTTTCAATTCAATATTCAAAATTCAAAACTTCTCGCAAGCAATTTGACAGGTGACAAAAACTCGAACGAAAAAAAGTGAGAAAATAATTCACCACAGTTACATAAACACTTCTAGTGAGTAATTGTCAAAAGTGAGAAAATCGTTCGAGGAAACGAAGTGAGAAAGTTACATAAACGAGCCACTGGGCTGCCAACATATTGGCCTGTCGATAACAATAAAATACCAGACCTAATAGACCAAAGGCATGTGCAGAAATTTTATCTCAACATACAATTTGCTTATTTGATGGTCCTCAGTTATATGACTGTTCTTATTGTCTTAGAATAAACTAGCTGAAATATAAAAAATACTTTACATCGCACATACTTACAAACAAATTACAAGATAAGTAAGATTCATATTGAGGACGCAACCTTGGTTTTAAATTCATTTCTGATTTCAGCAGCAAAAAACTCCAGCCCTAGAGACAAAAACATCCAATTAAGAACTTACAAATAGTGACAGAAAATTTAGTTTCATAAAAACGTAGATTAGGGTGTGAATGGCAAAAATCTAGGTCCTCTTCAGCAAAAAACTCACTCAAGGAAGCCTAAAGGAGACTTAGATTTGCATTAAGCAGGAAAACCAAAGTCAGGCAATATAATTTTATTCAAAATCTGTGTCCAAATAGCAAAAAACGCTCATCCTTATGGAATGCTTCCCCAATCCGATTCTCCAATAAGACTCTCTCGGAAACTGTGCGCGTAACGATAAAGAAAAATCTAACGTTTTTGCTGATTACCTAAAAGAGGTGTCCAACCAAACCCAGCAACAGGACATTATGACTGTTATGTCGCTTAAATAAATAACACGCTTCGTTCTGAGTTCATATAATGACTAATTTTATTAATATTTAAAATTAGAGTATTACTTAAATTAACCTAAAAGCTTCTTTGCTATAATAAAAATCTTACAATTAAATACTAAATTATAACTAAGTATAACATGCCTCCACTAAACGAAGTTTGTTATCTTATTCAAATTATATAAATAATTCTATATTATATATTTTTTACATTTTATAAATATTTTACAAATTCATTTCAGTTGTATTAAACTAAATTAAAGATAATACATTTTTGTATATAAGCAAATATTTATACATAGCTAAAGAAAATTATATGATACAATTTTTTTTTTTTTTATTTTTTAACAACCTTTCCTTGTATTCTCGGCCTTAGGTGTCTAGTATTTACTTGACCGTCATTACTTGAATTTGTATAACATTGGTGTAAATCTTCAAGAGGTATATTGTTGTCATTTACATTTCTCTCAACACATTCTGCAAGTTCAGTCTCGACAGTATTATTGTCGGTTATATTTTTATTTTCAACTTGTGCTGCAGGCACCTCCGACAGCTCAGCGTCTACATCACTCTGCTGGTTTTTATCTTCAGATCCAGATCTTATTTGATCAGCGTGCCTTTTTATCACCCTATTACTATGTGATAATTCGCATTGATAGGTACGTGGACCAAATTGATCAATAATTTTAGCAGGAGACCAACTAGGTTTATTTGGATTTCTATAATCACGAATAAAAACTCGTTGACCTACTTTAAATGTTGTAACTCTTTTACCTTTATAGTTTCTAATGCTGTTTTCTTGTGTTCTTAACATTTTTTCAATTATTAATGGTGGTTTCATTAAGTCAAATCTTGTTCTTAACAATCTACCTAAAAAAAGTTTCGCAGGAGATTCCTGAGTGGTGCAATGTTTTGTATTCCTATAATCTATAAGAAATCTATTCAAAGCTATATCAATGCCTGCTTCATTTTCATATCTTAAATTCGCAAATAAAGATTTTTTTAACACTTTGACTAAGTTTTCAACTTGTCCATTTGTTGCTGGATGACCAGGTGCTGTTAATATATGTTGAATTTTATTAATTTTAAGAAAATACTTGAATTCATCAGAAACAAATTGTTTTCCGTTATCACTTACTATAGTTTTTACCAAACCAAAGCGACAAAACATTTCACGTAATTTTGATATTACAAAGTTTGAAGTAATACATTTAGTTTTAAAAATTTCCACCCATTTCGAGTGAAAGTCTATGCAAACTAACAGAAAGTAACCTTTTATAGGCCCAGCAAAATCTATGTGAATTCTACTCCATACTGCTTCAGTAGGAATCCACGGTATCAATGGACTTTTTTGTGGAATAGGTAGAAGTTCCTGACATGGAATACAATTTTTTACTAAGTTTTCAATATCTATGTCCAAGTTTGGCCACCATACATAAGATCTCGCTATACTTTTTGTTTTAACCACTCCAAAATGTGATTCATGTAGTTGTTGGAGAACAATTTTTCTGAGTTTATGAGGTATTACTACTCTGTATCCCCATAACAAACATCCCTGATCAACAGTCAATTCATTTTCCTTAATACAATACGGTTTAAAATCGTGACCTTTAAGATCTTTAATTGTTCCTAATTTAACAACATCACAGATCTTAGCCAAAATTGGGTCGCGCCTTGTCTCACGAGCTATATCATTGAAATCTAAGTTTAAATTATTATCCTTCGAAATTAAATGGATAAAACTTTTTTCATCATGAATGTCATTATATTCCAATTGAGGAATTCGCGATAGGTTATCAGCATCATTTATGCTGCCTTTAATAAATTCAATTTTGTAATTGAAACCAGATAAGAGTAATGCCCATCTCTGCATTCTTGCAGCGGCCATCAAAGGTAACCCTTTGTTTTCACTGAATATTGATAACAGCGGTTTGTGGTCAGTTCTTATTACGAACTGATTACCAAGAAGATATTGTTTTAATTTATTAACTGAAAAAATTATAGCTAATGCCTCTTTTTCAAGAGTACTATAGTCTCTCTCTGATTTAGTTAGTGCCCTCGAAATAAAAGCAATTGGTTTGAGTTCACTACTTGCAAACCTATGTGATAGAATACCTGCTACTGCATTGTTAGACGCATCTGTTGTTAATACAATAGGCAAGTTCGGATTGAAGTGCACTAAAATTTGATCAGACACAATATTTTGTTTAATAATGTCATAAGCTTTCTGACAATTTTCAGACCAAGTGAATTTAACATTTTTTTTAATAAATTATATAGCGGTATCATTATATTCGCAAATTTATTTATAAATTTTGAATACCGGTGCATTCAATACGGATTCAACTCTCTCTTTATTTTTGGTTAAACCATATCTATCAATAGTGAATCCTAAATATGAAATTTTTGATTGAAAAAATACGCACTTTGAAGAATTCAGTTTTAATCCTGCATTTTTTAATTTACTCAATACTAATTTCAAAGTTCTTACATGTTCGGACATTGTTTTACCAGAAACGGTTATGTCATCCTGGTACACAACTACAAAAGGAATACCACATAACAGGTGGTATTCCTTTTCAATAGTTTTTTGAAAAATCGCAGCTGCTGGTTTCACTCCAAAAGGCAACCTTTTCATTTTTAATGTACCAATATGGGTTGACCATGTGCATAAATGTTGAGATTTCTCATCTAAAACCAACTGATTATATGCACAAGATCTAATTTTGTAAATACTTCACCACCTTGCAAAGAGGCAAAAATTTCGTCAATACGTGGTAAAGGATACTTAAAATCCAATAAGTGCTTATTTATCGTCACTTTATAATCTCCACATATTCGAAGTTCACCATTTGGTTTTAAAACAGGAAATAATGGTGTACCCCAGTCTGAACTATTTACAGGTTCTAACACATCATTTTCAATGAGTTCTTTTAAATTTCTTTCAATTTTATCCTTCCAAGCTAAAGGAACAGGTCTTGGTTTTATAAAAATAGGTTTGATATTTTCCGCAATAGGAAGAGATATTTTACTTATATTGTATTTACCTAATTTCATATCAAAGATTTTACAAAATTCATTTTTAATTTCCTCTATAATTACAGAATAATCTTGAATGTAATTAATATTACCACACTGTACCAATTTAAAGTTAAATAATTTTAGAAAGTCTCTACCAAGTAATGGTGCACTATTTAAATTTGTAACTACTATATTCATACTTTTTATAACTTCCTTATACATGACATTTGCTTCGAAAATTCCTAACACTTTAATTTCTTTCCCACAGTAACTAAAAAATTTTGACTCACATGAGTTTAAATGTATTTTGTTGTTAATTTTTCGCAGAAGTTATGCTGGTACCAAACTGCACGGAGCTCCTGTGTCACAAATTATTTTAATAGGAGTATCATTTATGTTTATGACGATCTCAAATATTCCACTTGAAGAATCACTTTGAATACTATAAATAGAAAAATTTAATAAATTTTTATTCATATTATTAGAATTAATACTAGAATTTGATACATAATTAACATTACTGTTTTTTTAATTTACATACTGATGCAATATGTCCAACTTTTTTACAGTTGTGACATTTTGCATTCTTGTATCTGCAATTGTTCGACAGATGATTCCTCCAACCGCAATGTTGACAACACTTTTCTCCAGATTTTTCCACTTTTTTATAATTGGCTCCTCTATTAGAATTTAATTTTTTAACAAAATGCACATCTATTATATCATTTTTCTTGTTCAAAATTTTTGTTTCCATAATCATAGGTTTTTTTAACGCATCTGTTAGCGAAAGTTTTTCATCTTCTTCGCATAATCTTTCAAAAAGAATTTTAGGCAAGCCTACTACAAATCGATCCAAAATAAATGCATTTAAATGCTCTTCAAACTTACAATCCAAAGTAAGTTTTTTTACACGAGCAAACCACTCTGATACAGATTCTCTCTCATGTTTGAAAGCTTCATGGAACTTTTTTCGTTCTTGAAATATAATAGTTGGTGAGGTGTAATGACTCTTAAAGTGGGGTGCAGACTATCATACTGGTATGTCATACGAGAGAGAAAAACGTCGTATGACACACAGGTATGATAGTCTGCCACCTTTACCAACGTGTTGGCGTGCTCACCAAAATTTTGGTGAACAGCTCTCGCATACGCGTTGTGTATGATAGTCTGTCACCCCTAACGATTCATACGTCATACAAGAGCATTTTTGCCTTGCAAATTTATTGTAAGCAGGTGATATATGTGAAATTTTTATGTAAATTTAATATGTTTTTTTATTATTTTATTATTAATGTATTTATTATTATTATTATTAAAATCACACTTATAAATTTGTGTTAAATATTTAATTGTATCTTAGTTAAAAAAAATATAAATTTTTACATAAAATTCTTATAAACAATTAAAATACAATTAAATATTTTATGTAATATATTAAATATTTTGTTTAATTTATTAAATATTTTATTTTATTTTATTTTAATTTATAAACGATGATTATAAGTAAAATTTTTTTTAAAAAAACATCTAAATATAAACATCGTTAAATTTATGATCTAAGCCCAGTAATAAAAAAACATATTGAAAATTGGTCGTAATAACAATTAATTAATAACCCAAATTTAAGATATAATACTTTGTATTCTAAATATGCTTTTCTTTGTTAAAACTTGTTATTAAAATAAAAGAATTTTAAATGTTAATAACCTTTAACTAACAAAAATATGGAAATGATCAAATTTCTTGAAAAACAATGAAGATATATACATTCTTATGTATATATATATATATACATTATTTGTATGATCTATTTATGAAAAATTTCTTAAGAAACTTTACAGGTAGTGAATGAAATTAACTACGGTCCTTTACTGATATTTTCATTTTAACTACTGTGCTTAATGACCAATAAACCTAAAAAAAATATGAATATGGATGCAGATAAAGCATTTTTAGATGCTTTCATCGAATGTTAACAAAAGTAATTTCTGTTTGTGGGATATCCAAAGTTGTGAATATAAAGAACGCAAAAAAAAAACGCGGCATATATAAAATATACAAAATTATAATCAATTATAAGCAAAGCGCAACCTATACGTTAACTATCAATTTTTTCAATTTTAAAATTTTATTTTAAACACACAAATTTTCACAGCACTACCCGCAAAAGCACTCTTCAAAAATTTTGCCTAATCTTGTGTGTCATACCTGTTCAAATTCGGTCGCTAGAAGAAATTTGAGCAAGAGAGAGCGCAACTTGTATGACACACCAGTATGATAGTCTGCACCCCACTTAAGAATTTCACAAAGCTCTTTGTAACTTTTTTCAATTGGTGAAATCGGACTGCACAAACTATGTAAAAGGCTGTACGGCTCAGCACCGATCGCTTTCAATAGAATAGCTTTTTTTTTATTGTCGTCTTCACAATTTATTTCGCACATGTGAATTTCCAGTTTCTCCTTCCAGATTGACCACGTTTCTATTTGAGGAGAGAATAGCGGCATATTGCTTGTCTGCCATACCGTTACATTTTCATTTGTAGACATGATTCCACTGTATATTATTAATTTATATATATTATATATTACTTTTTAATAAAAAAAAATATTTTACTAAATGTTCTTTTAATGCTTTTATGTGCATAATATGTATATTTACACAATTAATCATAAATTTTTTTATTTTCAACAGTTTTTTTGTTTTTAGTCTTTTACAAATTGCAAAGAAAAAACTAAATCGTTTATTTTTGCATTTATATTTATTTACATTTGTTTATTTATTGTATATTACACAATTAAGCACAAAAAAAAATTTTCTCGTCGCCAATTTGTTATGTCGCTTAAATAAATAACACGCTTCGTTCTGAGTTCATATTATGACTAATTTTATTAATATTTAAAATTAGAGTATTACTTAAATTAACCTAAAAGCTTATTTGCTATAATAAAAAGCTTACAATTAAATACTAAATTATAACTAAGTATAACAATGACTTTCCCACTCAGCATCTACATGCACCATCTATTAACATGATTATCACGGCAAATGATTTTATTCAAATAATCACAAATAAATTAGATTGCAAAAAGGCACCGGGATATGATAACATCTCACCCATCATGATAAAAAACTTACCCGTTTTGGCCATAAATTTTATCACAAGAATTTTTAATACCATTATTAAATTTGGCCTTTACCCAACAGTATGGAAAACATTCTTGATCATAATGATCCACAAATCAGGCAAAGATCCCCCGCTTGCCGCTTCATACAGGCCAATAAGCTTACTTCATGTCTTTCTAAAATCTTTGAAAGAGCAGTACTTTTAAAGTTGAAACCTTTCCTGGACAGTCATAACCTAATACCCTCTCACCAGCTTGGTTGCAGGGAAAAACATGGAACTATTGCACAAGTGAATCTTATAACGAACGAAATAAGACACGCATTTGAGTTCAGAGAATATTGTTCCACGGTATTCCTCGATGTAAAACAATCATTTGACAAAGTATGGCATAATGGGCTATTATAATAAACAAGTTACGCTGTCTTTTACCTGCTAATGTTCATTCAGTTTTAGAATCGTATCTACAGAACAGAAGTGTTATAGTCAAATGCAATTCATTTACTTCTAATAACTTTCCAATAGAAACTGGCGTTCACCACAGGGAACTGCACTTGGCCCTATCTTGTATGTATTTTACACATCTGATATCCCAATAAATAATTCAGTTGTCACCACAACGTTTGCCGATGATACAGCAATTTTATGACGAAACAAAAACGTTGTCTTAGTCTCAAACCAACTTCAATCTCACTTATTTCTGGTGGAGAAATGGTTGTCAAAATGACGA